TGAAGAAAATAATAAGAGGGAAAATATTCTGTATATTGAATTGTTCTGCTAAGTACAAGGAGTTTCTCCTTTATTTATAGGAGAGGATAAAGACCAAAACACAAAAGGAATTCTATTCCTACAAGGAAACAAATCACTAAATATGAACAAGGAAACAAATCAAGAGCAATCCCACTTAGAATGGGATTTGCTCTCCTTCTTGCCGTGTGGTCCAAGGAGCACCGCCCAACAGTTTGACATGTTTGAAGAACCAAGAATCATTAACCTTGAAATTGATGTTAAAACTATAAACTAATGCCACCAAAATGATCTATGAACCTTGAAGAACCTTTCTATATACTTTAATTGAAGTTTGATTACTAAAAATGACATTTCTGAAAGTTGGCTCGAGGTAGAAGATGATGAAAAATCGATTTTTCATGGATAAATCGATTACACTTTCGTCTGCTGAAGAAATTGAGTTTAGCAGCAAAATAATCGATTATTTTAATTAATCAATTATTTAAAAATCGATTATTTGAACAAAATAATCGATTATGACATTTATCCGCTGCAGTGGGGGAGGCAGGATCGAATTCTCGCGGGGGCACAATTACGATCATCAGGAAGCAAAAATTCATTTAAAAAATACGGAGTAACAAAAAATTCTAATAATAGTACCAATTTTAATAGGAAAAGAGTAAATTTACATACAACTATATAAGTACATTTTATTTGTGTAATGAGGAAGAATTGTTTTGTGGCCGTAGAAATTTTTTTTGAGATGCCAAGAGCATTTTGCTAAGTATCATTTACTTATGGTATCTTTAATTTCAAATGCAAAAGTATTAATTACTTTTCGTAATCCCAGATTAGCAATAATATCATCATCTAAAACCACACTTTCATTCTCCAAAGAAATTTTTTCCTTGTCGTCTTTATCATTTACCAAAGATAAATTATTTAGTTGTGTAATAAAAAATTTGTCCATCTCAAAAATTTCTAATTTGCAACAGTATAAATAAATCATTGATGAAACAAATACTCCGTAACAATTTGTTGTAATTTAACTCTAATACTCCCTCTATCCCTAAAAGATTACCATAGTTTAAGTTTTTTGTCAAATTGTGTCAGTCTTTGACTGTGAATTATGAAAAAGATACTCCCTCTGTTTAGAAAAACCCTTCCCATTTGATTTGGGGGCAAAAATAAGGAAGTGTTAAATTATACTCCCTCCGTTCTCAAAAACACTCCCTCTTTCATTTTTTTCATTTCCAACAAAACACTTCCCCTTTCTATTAAAAACCACTTTTACCCTTACTTTTTCATACCTTACCTATCACATCATACTTTTTTACTAATAATCAATCCATCACATCTTACTTTTACCCATCACATCAGGGGCAAAATTGGAAGTCAACTATAATTTTACACTTTCTTAATTTGCCTTATTTTCAAAGTGGGAAGGGTTTTCCCAAACGAAGGGAGTAGTTGATTTCCAATTTTGCCCCTGATGTGATGGGTAAAAGTAAGATGTGATGGATAGATTATTAGAGAAAAAGTATGATGTGATAGGTAGGGTATGAAAAAGTAAGGGTAAAAGTGGTTTTTTAATAGAAAGGGGAAGTGTTTTGTTGGAAGTGGAAAAAATGAAAGAGGAAATGTTTTTTAGAACGGAGGGAGTATATTTAATAAATTTTGTAAAATTTAATTTTTTAAAAATATAGTTATAAAATATCAAATTTTTATAATATTTAATTATTTTAAGTTATATTTAGTACCACATTTTAAATTTGAATTATTTAAAATATCAAATTTTTATAATAAAATCCTTACTTTCTACAAAGATTTGGGCAGTACAGCAATGCCTAAAGGGTCAATTGGAAACCTCTCTTTTTTATGAGCCCAACAGAGTTATAATTGTATTGGGTTTTGTATTTGTGCATAGAATGTTGACAAACAGTGTTCTAGAAAATGCTAGGCTGGTCGTACAGTATAGCCACACGGCTAGGCTGGTCAAGTAGAGCATATGCATGGATTTTTATAACTAGGGTAATGATAGGAGAAATAAAGAGAGAAATTAGGAACTTAACGTCTCTGGTTAATGCATGCAGGATCCGAACGAGCCAGTAATGCTGTTCACCAAACCTTTGGTTCCAGAGAAGCTGGCAGCTGCGGGCATTATGCCCCCGACAGGTGGTTCTTCTTCAATGGGTAACGGACGCCCGTTTAACTTTCGGGGAAGAATCGGTAGGGGTGGACGTCTGGTGTTTGACAGATGGAACCCACTTTTGCATCCTCCAATCGAGTGTGGTGATACTTTATGTATACCACCACCAAAGCCTCGTCCAGCCACACGCGCGCGGATGATGTGAATTTTGTTTCCACTTGCCCATTGTGTACTCTAATTATAACATTGTGTTCTTTGTGGATAGGGGCAGAACGGGAAACTTTTGTACAATTACGATTGGCGTTCTTCTTCATTTTGCCTTCTCATTCTCTTTTCCTTCCACTTTTCCTTTCTAACCAAACAAGAAAACTTGTTTTCCACTTCATTTTCTTTCCTTTTCTCTTTTGAATTCCTTGAACCAAACATAGTGCTAAGGATCCGTTTGGTATACGGAATTGATGGAATAGGAATTGAATTGGAATTAAGATTCCATGGAATTCAATTCCATAGAATTGAATTCACCAATTCCAATCCATATTTTGCACTATCAATTCCAAATCTACATAATTTTGTACTACCAAACACCAGAATTAGAATTGAAGTCCTCAATTCTAATTCCATAGTTTGAAATCCGTATATCAAACGAGACCTAAGAGTTTATGAAATTTCATAGTAGTTATGTAAGTGTTTTTACTAATGTTATTATAAACACTAGAAATGGTATACAATAGACTAAAAAATAGAGTAAATTATTCTATAAAAACATAAATTTTAAAGAGATCACTCCGTACAAATTTTGCAAACTACTCCGTATATTAGTGGTACAGTTCATGGGTATATTTTCTTCATTGCAAATTTGAATCTACAATCCACTACGATTTGAAACATGAAATTTTGACGAAAAGATGTTATGAGTAAATACAAGTGGACTATTGCTCAGTTGATCTTAAAGTCTACATGTGAAATGTGAATTTTTTCACACTTTTCATAAGCTGACTAGTGTAGTCTCTTCTTTTTTAGCAAAAGACTCGATTGTTTGATGATATAAATGCATTAAGGTTCATAATATGAGGATGAATTTCAAGATCATATATAAATTTGTCTTACTGTCGAGAATATTAGAGATGCAAATGATAACTCAAGCTATAGGAATTATGCATTGAATCTTTTATGGTAATCTTTTGAGAGGCATTCATACGGTGCTAGATATTCCTAGTTCTCTCCAATCTATCTCGAAAATCTTGGGATATGGTTGAGTTTATTAGGGCTGGGCACGGGTCGGGATAGTTCGGGTTTTATATCGTCTCGTGTTTTATCTCGTTTTTTTCAACGGCTCGAAACGGTTCGGTCCACAAGCTTATCTCCCTTTGCCCTTTAATATTTAGGATCAGGACAAAATCGAACGGGTTTGGGTTGTCCTGCTTTGTCATTATCCAAAATTAGATATAGAAATATAAAATACATAAGGGGAAAGCAACGCACTTTGACTTGAAAAGTAATGAAAAAATAATATATTTATTTAAAATGTCTTAAAAGAGCAAACACAATAAGGAAAAATGTAAAAATGTTACAACATACGTCAAAAGTAAAGATTATAAACTTCATAAAAGCTATGAGCCACAAATTGGATTGGATCGGGTTAGAACTTAGAACGGTATGAATTTTTAGGTGTTTTGGTCCAAGCTTATTTTTTCATAATATTTGAATCTAGATACTTTTTATATCTATATTAGAAAGAATTAAAATTTTGATACTTTTTTGTGTTATATCATTATATAAATAAATAAATGAATATATACATATATATATATACGGGACAACAGGACGGAATGGTAAAATATTTATGTCTCCCGGTCATGTCCCATTTCAAACAATTCGGAACGGATTCGGGACAAAATTTTGTCATACCTAACAAAACGAGACATTGTAGAGACGGGATCAGGATAATTCGGATCGGGACAACGGTTTCGGAATTCTTGCCCACCCATAGAGTTTATTATGAGCCTTGTTTGGACGTTGGTTGTTTATGTGAGTTGTTTTGAATGGTTGTTAAGAGAAAATTGTTTAGTAAATTTAACTGTTCATAAATAGCTGTTTGTAGTGAAACATACTTAGTTGTTCATAAATTAATTTGTTGTTTTAAATAGTTTAATCTTTTAAATTTTGATAAAAACATAAAAATTAATTCTCTAAAGTTATTTTTTAACACAAAGAATTTAAATGTTATTTTTCTATATGTATTTATAACCATTTCACCTTAAAATAAAAAATAAAAGATGGGAATGAAGAAACATATCCCTAATCTACGTAGATGAAGAAAAAAATTGGAATGAAGAAAAACTGGAATGAAGAAAAAGAAAACTTCCATAAAAAACTACGATGAAGATGAGGCATTATCTTTTTGGGAAAAGCTGACTCAAGTCAAAAAAAAAATCGATACAATGTGTCAATTGGAAACGCCATGACTGTTGGCTCTTCAAATTTTGGTTCCAAAAGCCAACATAAACAACGTTTTGGCTGATTGAAAAGTCAAAAAAGGTATTGATGGTCGGGATTGACTCCAAGAAGATGACACCTTACTGTGAGATGACATGTTTCGGTGAGATGATGCAAAGCTCACCACATTACAATGCAAAGCTCACCAATGGCCAATGTAAAGCTCACCTGAAAATAAAGCAAAGCTCACCACTTTGAACACCAAAACTCACCTTTTTTTAATTTTGAAAATTAAAAAAATAATTAAAAATAAAATAGCAACACCGGTCAACCATCGGTCAGTAGCGGCCGGCGCGGCGGAGACCGGCAGCGGAGGTCGGCGGCCGGCGGCGGCGGAGGTCGGCGACCGGCGGCGGCGGTGGCCGGTGATGGTCAAAGTCTAGTCAGCACCCCTTCCTTTGATTTTATTTTTTCAAAAAAAATTCAAAGTGTTGAAAAAATATGGTGAGCTTTGCCTAACAGTTTGGTGAGCTTTGTAATTGTCTTTGGTGAGCTTTGCGGTGGCCAGTGGTGAGCTTTGCATCATCTGACCATAGCATGTCATCTCACTGTATGTTGTCATCTGACTGGAGTTAATCCCCTGATGGTCCTAACATCTAAGGGCAAAGGCTACCTCAACGGCCATTTACTAAATATGCCCGATATCTATGAAACCTTTACCTCTAAGCTATCAACTCTAACAATCGATTCATTTTTCTAAAGTGTGTGAGCCTCGTGACCAAACTGGGCGAACCTATTTGTTTTGCTCGTGGGTCACACTTTGGATCAATTTTAGTCATTTGGGTTTCTTCCTTGGACATGGATACATACATTGGGTTCGTTGCATTAAAAATTATCTCAGCACAATATACTCATGATAAGCTCCTTAATTTCTTATTCGGGTCTTCTCAAAAGATAGACTCGTCATGAAATTACATTAGTCAAAATCATAGTCATAACAACCAAAGGCTACCTCAACATCCATTTACCAAATATGTCTGATATCTATGAAACCTTTGCCAACACAAACAAGCTAAAGCTAAATCCAAAAGCCAACAAAAACAATTTTTGGCTGATTGAAAAGTCAAAAAAGGTATTGATGGTCGTAATATCTAAGGGCAAAAGCTACCTCAACAACCATTTACCAAATATGCTCGATATCTATGAAACCTTTGCCACCATGCTATCAAATCTAGCAGTCGATCCATTTTTCTAAAGTGTGTGAGCCTCATGGCCAAATTAGGCCAACCTATTCGTTTGGCTCATGGGTCACACCTTGGGTCAATTTTGGTCATTTGGATTTCTTCTTTGGACATGGATACATACATTGGGTTCGTTGCATTAAAAATTTTCTCGGTACAATATACTAATCAAAAGCTCCTTGATTTCTTGTTTGGGTCTTCTCAAAAGATAGGCTCGTCAAGAAATTACATTAGTCAAAATCATGATCATAACAACCAAAGGCTACCTCAACAGCCATTTACCAAATACTAGTTTTCTACCTCGTGCTTCGCACAGGCTTGGGATGTGTTCACGTGTCTATTAAATAATATTATCATTGTTAGACTCTTTTGGTAAAACTATGTAACATTTTGAATACAAATTAAATATAGTTTAAAATAATTAAATATCATAAAATTTTGATTTATGAAAATAATATTTTAAATGGACACAATTTTTATAAATTTACACACTTTGTTGTCAAAGTATAGAGCAACTTGACCAAAAATATCAAATTGTTATTAAATGATATACTAATGAAAATTGATTTAACTAATGAAAAAATACAATAAAAATACCAAATAAATTAAGGTAATGATAAATCATTAAATAATACATATGAGGTATATGGCCTATATGCCATGTGTTATACTTCAAGAAAAACAAATTAATTTAATTTAATTTGTTGAAATGATATATAGCAAAACAAATAGTGTTACAGATAAAATATTTTTAAATAAAATACAATATATAGTTAGTAAATATATAGTTAATCAAATATGGTTATTTGGTAAAATAACAATATAAAATAAATAAATGGTGGATTGTTTTATATATATATATATATATATATATATATATATATATATATATATATATATATATATATTCTTTGCCATCAGAAACAAGCTAAAGCTAAATCCAAAAGCCAAAACAAACAATTTTTTTCGTAATTGAAAAGTCAAAAAAGGTATTGACCGTCAAAAAAGGCACCTTCACACCTTCCTTTGTACAAAATAAATATGATATCATTTTTTCCATAAAATGGCATTTTCCCATAAAGTAGCCCGTTTCAAGACCCATAGTTAACATACCTTACCAAATAAAAATAAGGAGGTTAATTAAAATTGTAGCCACCATTACACTACCCCGCATGCAAGTCGCGAATGCACTCCCCCCAATTCAAAAACTATAATGGCATCGCAACTTCCAAAAAAGTGGGCCGCATGGCCTTTTACAATACCTAAGCTAAGGCACTTTCACACATTCCTCTGTACAAAATAAATATGATATTACTTTTCTCCATAAAATGGTCTTTTCTCATAAAGTATCACATTGCTCAATACCTCATGCTTGGGGTACACCAAAAGTGTACCCCAAGTTGTACCCCTAAGAAATGAACCGACAATCTAACGATTCACACTAATAGAAAATGTTAGTTCAATTGAAAAAATGGCACTGGTATATTTTTTTCAATGTAAATCATCAAACTAATATCACTCACTAGTACAAAATGTCGGTGCATACCTTTGGGATACAAAATGGGGTACAAATTTTGGTGTACAAATAGCTTAATCCATGGTGTACAAATAGCTTAATCCAAGGTTTTTTACCATTTTCCAGTCGGCATCACCCCTTTCTCTTCCCCATTAATAAACACACTCACCGAAGCCAAGCCGCCCTCACGCACTTTCTCATGCAAAGTAATTAATAGAGGAATTTACTTAAATAGCACTAAAACATAATGACTTTATCTAAATAGCACCACATGTGTTTTTCTTCCCAATGTAGCACTTTTAGTCATTATGCATTAGTCATTATTCAATTAAATATATGCCATTACTGGACATTATGAACATTATTAAGTGCTACTTAGGGAATAAAATAATTTAGGTGCTATTTAGGGAAATGACTTAAGTTTTAGTGCTATTTAGTGCAAATATTTCTAATTAATACTCCCTCCATTTCTTAAAACTCTTCCTCTTTCATTTTTTTGTTTTTCTTAAAACACTTCCCTTTTCTATTAAAAACCCACTTTTACCCCTACTTTTTCATACCCTACCTATCACATCTTACTTTTTCACTAACAACTAAACTATCACATCTTACTTTTACCCATCACATCAAGGGCAAAATTGGAAAGTCAACTACAATTTAACACTTCCTTATTTTTCCCCAAAGTCAAAAGAGGAACCGTTTTGAGAAACGGAGGGAGTATCACATTTCTCTATAAAGTGACCTTCCCCCATCAGACATGTTCCCCCATTTCTTTGGCTCATTTCAAACTCGAGCCCATAACATTTAGGCGGGATTTTTAATGTTCGGATACGAGGTCGCACGATATCGTCGCGACCAGTGTTGGAAGAATGAAACAAGGGTTTCTAACTACTTAGGGTTATTATTCATTCCATAATTGATATGGATACATCCCTATTCATAACCGATAGAGAAACCCTAACCCTAACCCTGTCGGTTCAACAAAGGCGTCAAGGGAAAGAGCCGAAAAGAAAATTCTTGAAGGAGCTTATAATTTGTCCACATAATAAAATCTATGTTACAAGACGGAATAAAACTAACAAGATAAAAACAATAAATAATAACGTCACGGCATAACATAGTCCTTGTATCTTGACGGGCGGCTCACATGCCAAAGTGATCTACCCACCGCAACCGACGTGGTTGGGTCTTCCCGATCCTCTTGGGCCGTGCTCGTATCATGTTCATCTTTTACACATTAACTTTGTATATATAAAGATATTGGTTACTCTTTATATTGGAATTGAATACGTGTAATTAACCGGCCGGACTATCACATCCCTATTCAAAAGCCCAAATGTAATAAAATTACAATATCTCGGATAATACCAACGTAATTAACCATCCTTCAAAAAAACACGAATTCAATGCCAACAAGAATAGGAATAATGCATCCATAAATTTTACGGAGTATTAAAAAAAAAGAGTAAATTCCATAAAAGGTCCTCAGTTATAGATCGTTTTACATATTTAGTCCCTACATATCAAATATTACTTATTTAGTCCCCAATTGTTATATTCATTTTCACGAATAGTCCTTTTTTAACATTTCCTTAAGAACATGGATAAAATTGTAAATTCACACTTATTTCTCTCCTCAATTAAGTTTCTTCTCTCCTCTCGCACTCCTTTCCAAAATCTGACGCTGAGTTTGAAGCTTTGAACCCAAATTCGAAATTGTTACTCTTCTCTCAATTGTTTGTCGAATTGATGGAACCCAAATTTAAAATCAGTAACCTTCATGGATGAGTTTTAATGTTTATTTTCTTTGCAATTTCTTGAGACTAACCGATAAAACTCGTCCATAAGTTTATTGGTTTTGATTTTAGAGAGGAGTGATCATTTCAGTTTTAGATTTAGAGCTTCAAACTCAGCGACGAATTTAAAAAAGAGTACGGAAGGTAAGAGGAAACTTAATTGAGGAGAGAAAGGAGTATGGATCTACAATTTTATCTACGTTTTTAACGGAAATGTTAACAAAGGACCATTCGTGGATATAAATATAATAATTAGGGACTAAATAAGTAATATTTGATATGTAGAAACTAAATATGTAAAACGAACTATAACTGGAGACTTTTTATGGAATTTACTCAAAAAAAACTCCAATACCAGCTAGAATAGGAGTACCAACGAACACCTGAAGACAACAAAACTATGCCTTAACTTTAAATACGCTGAAATTTGCAAGAGTTCTTCGTAAAAACTTCTCTTTTTTGCACATTAAACCAAAGCTCCTAGCTATACATACACTTTTGATTATTTTTTTTTTCAAAGCTGATGAGATTATTATGCATATAAAAACCCACCACCTACTACGAGCTTATCTCTTTTGGACAGCAGTAGTACTATTCGCCCTTCACGCCGCCGTGAAGGGCGACAGTAGCGTATTATTGGGAACGCGAGTCGACGCGGTGGTAGCGCAAGACGGGTCGGGGCAATTCCGGACCATCGGGGAAGCTATCAAAGCGGCGCCGGAGAAGAGTGAGAGGAAGTTTGTGATATACGTGAAAGCGGGGGTTTATTATGAGAAGGTGGTGGTTGGTGAGGAGAAGACGAACTTGACAATCATTGGTGCCGGAATGGATGCCACCATTGTTAGCGGCAACTTGAGCCATATGGGAGGATACGACCTAATCAACACTTCCACATTTGGTGAGTAACTATATTAATTCAAGGTTAATTAACCCTTGTTCATTATATTTATATACTCCCTCCGTTCTACAAAACCCTTCCTCTTTCGTTATTTTTTTTTCACAAAATACTTCCACTTTCTATTAAAAAAAGCACTTTTACCCCTACTTTTTCATACCCTACATATCACATCATGCTTTTTCACTAAAAACCAAACTATCACATCTTATTTTTTCCCATCACATTAGGGGCAAAATTGGAAAGTCAACCAAAATTACACTTTCCTTATTTTTCACCAAAGTCAAAACCGGAAGGGTTATGTGGAACGGAGGGAGTATTAATTAGTATTACTACCTCCATTCCAGAGTATTTGTCTAATTTAATTTTTTTTTCAATCAATCGTTTTCAACTTTTGACTAATAATTAAATAAAATATTTAATGTATATTAGTTAGATTAAATAATATTTTGAAAAAGCATTTTATATAATAAATCTTATAATACTATTTTTTATCCAAATCTAATATCATTTTTATTTAATTTGGAATCAAAAGTTATCAATTTTGATCAAAAAAATTAAAAGTGACAAATACTTCAGGACGAAGGGAGTACTTCTTCTATCCCATAAATTTATGTTCTTTAGTTTTCACAAATTTCAATACACTATTTGAACATTAATATACTCCGTAATTATTTAAATATAAATATAAATTATAAAAATATGATATATCTTAAAATTGCATATTATAAGGTGTATATTTATATTAACTCTATATACTCCATTCCCTCTATGCCGTTAAAAATTTTAGATTTTGACTTTTAAGTGATTTTAAAAAGAGAAATTTACTTAAATAAGACTTAAACATAATGACTTTTTTAATATAGAACCATATGTATTTATTTTTCAATGTAGGACTTTTGGTCATTATCAATTAGTCATTATTCAACTAAATGGCCATCATTAATGGACATTATTCCTCTCACTAGTCATTATTAAATCCTATTTAGGGGATAAAAAAATTTTAAATCCTACATTGGAAAATGATTTATGTTTTAGTCCTATTTAGTGCAAATTTCACTTTAAGAAAAGTATATTTTGGTGTTTGACCTTTTAAAAATGCTCTTAGAGTTTTCTTTTTAATAGTGATGTTTCATATCAATGGATATATATTTAAGAATAATGAAAAGGAGTAATTAAAAAAACAAAAAGTAAGATGGGATGTGACGGATGTGATGTGAGAAAAGTAAGACTAAAGAGAGATATTTTAGTCCACTTTAGAGAAATTGAAATGTTTTATGAGATGAGTAAGATGAGAAAGTTAAAATGTTTTATAAGACGGAGCGAGAGTATATTATCCTCCCTCCGTCTGAAAATATTCTTTCCATTTGACTTTTCTTGGTCTATCACGCTAAGCATTTCTTGTTTTGACTTATGGGGCGAGAGGGGAACTGTATAAGTTTGACCAAAGTGAAACTATGCCAATTGAAACGAGTAGTGCTCGAGAAACATCATAATGGGTAGGACGTGGAAGGTTGTTGAAATGAAGTGTGTTTATTTGTGAGGGTTGGAAAAACAAATGTGAGAAACATTTCGGGTTAAAATTAAGAGAAATTTACTTATATAGCACTAAAACATAATGACTTTCCCTGAATAGTATCACATATTTTTTTCTCAATGAAGCACTTTTAGTCATTATACATGAGTCATTATTCAAGTAATTAAATATTTGTCATTTCTGGACAATATAGACATTATTAAGTGCTATTTAAGGAATAAAACAATTTAAATAGAGAAATTTACCTAAATAGGACTAAAACATAATGACTTTCCCAATATAGGACCATATATTTTTATTTTCCAATGTAGGACTTTTGGTCATCAACAAGTAGTCATTATTCAAGTAAATGTCTAGCATTACTAGATACTATTCCTCCCACTAGGTCATTATTAAGTCCTATTTAGGGAATAAAAAAGTTTAAGTCTTACATTAAGAAAGTCATTATGTTTTAGTCTTATTTAGAGCAAATTTCATATTTAAATACTCCCTCCGTCCCCCTAAGATGTTCTCATTTTGACTTTTGGTGGTTTTTAAGGAGAGTTGAAAAAAGATGAAAGTTTACCATAATACCCTTAATGAAATATGGGTGGAGTGTATTAAATGAGGTGGGTGAGGTGTAATAAATAAAGTAAGTGGGGGTAGTTATGGTATTTTAATTGTTAAAAAATGAAATGAGAAGACCTATTGTGGACAGAAAAAAAGGGCTATTGAAAAGATCTATGTGAGACGGAGGGAGTACTATTTAAGGAAAAAACTTAATTTTTAGTGCTATTTAGTGCAAATATTTCTAAAATTTATTAGTCCATTTACTACTCCATCTATTCATTATATTCTTTAATTTTTAATTCATTTATATATGCTGGTTGCATGCAGCCGTGTTTGCCAAAGACTTCACCGCCTACGACATTGGATTCCACAACACGGCCGGGCCCGCCATGGGGCAAGCGGTGGCCCTTATGGTGGCCGGCGACCGGGGGGCCTTCTACCGGTGCAAAATATCGGGATACCAGGACACTCTTTTCGCGCATTCAAACCGTCAATACTTCCGGGACTGCGCCATCTACGGCACCGTGGACTTCATCTTCGGCGACTCCGCGGCGGTGTTCCAGAACTGCGCCATCCGGCCGCGGAAGCCCCTCCCGGGCCAGTTCAACGCCATCACCGCCCAAGGCCGCCGCGAGCCCGGCGGCAAGTCCGGGTTCTCTTTCCAGAACTGCGACGTCTCCTCGGCGGAGGATCTCGCCGGGGTCAGGACGTTCTTGGGGCGGCCGTGGAAGAGCCACTGCAGAGTGGTCTTCTCGAACACTTACATGGCCGGTTTCATTGACCGGAGAGGTTGGGCGGCTTGGTCGGAGGACGACGACTCGCCGCCGCCGCCGGACACCATTTACTATGCCGAGTTCGGCAACTACGGCCCGGGGGCGGATACGGCGAGTCGGGTCCGTTGGAAGGGGTTGCATTTAGGGGCAAGTGGGAGTGCAGAGGCAAGAACGTTTAGTGCTGATAGTTTTATTGAAGCAAGCTCTTGGATTCTTCCAGAGGCCACTAGAATGATTACCGTATTAAACCCTCCTTCAGCCGAAGGAGAACCGGTTGAGGGGGAGGAGAACCGGGTTGGTCCGGAACCGGAGGCGAGGGAACGTGAACCGGAAGTGAAGGAGAGGGGAATTGCACCGGAACTATTAAGGAATGGAATGGCGCCCGAATTGGAGAATGGAGTAGTCGGATCTGAACCGGTAGGGGAATCAATCATTGCCCCGGAACCGGCGGTGAAAGGAAATGCACCTGAACCGGCTGAGAATGTAATTAGTGCACCAAAATCATCTGAATATGGTTCGGAACCGGGAAAAGGAATCGGTGATATTGGAATGTGTTGCGCAAACAAGCTTTTGAATATAGCTTTACTTCTATTTTGTTTGTGGGTTTCTAAAGACACATTTTAATATTCTGGTATTATTTTTGTAACTAAAGACATATTTTGATAATGTTGGTCAATTGTATGTAAAAAAAGTATTATATATTTAGTTATAATATACATTTATTGTAAATTATAAAGGTAGTATATATTTAATTATATACTTCTGTTGGAATTTTTGGCATTTTAATTGGCATTAAATGGACCAATTTGGGTATATTTGTCAATAGGTCCACTAACGGTTTTAACCGTTTATTAATGGACGTGTGTTCTCTTAAATGAGATAAATGTTTTGACAATTTATACGCCAAAAATGGTAGAGGGTGAATGAGAAATTGATTCTCAGAGTTAACCCGTTAATAAAAGAATATGGTGAGGATTGCAATTTTGCAATTTTACTGAACCAATCTTCTTTTATTAATTTTACGTATTGTTTAAAATTAGTCCATTTTTACGGACGTGTTAATGGCTAATTAATCACCATTAACACACCACTAATGCCATGATTAATTTTGAGGGTTTAATGGTGTAGGAGTTACACATTTTAAACACCTTAGTTATAAATCAAAGAGCTCCTCTCCGATAAAATGTAAATAGATTAAAGAGTAGGATATACAAATAGAACGAGCATACCCGAGCTGGGAAATGGTAAAACCAAATCCAAAGAAACAAATGGCAACATCACCAAGTTCAAACGTAAACAAGTAATCAGTTCAAAACAAGGGCGCACAGGCCAACAAATAGCAAATACAACAACATCAGAAGGGAAAAGTACGTAGAGGCCATAATCTC